GTTTAATACTGTCAAAATCTATTTGAGCATTCACAGATAAACAAATCAATGAGACTGATATTTATTTTTCTCAACTTTCTCTACATTCTGCATTACATTCATTTAGAACAAATCCCTCCTTGTAAAAGAATAAATGAGAATAAAAAGGGAAATTAACTTATGTGCATTAGTCGAAAGTAATGGGATATAAGCCATATGCATAAAGAGTTTTCAAGACGCCAACTCCTTCCCAAAGAAGATAAAGTCGTGTCGTGCAACTGTGAAATCTAAGTAGAATAGGAGAAACGACTAAGAATGGATGGATCCACACTCCTAACGAGTTGCAAGTTAATAAAGAGAACTTGAGGAGGACGAATTCCTCAAACACTAAGGCAAAGTGGATAGAGATTTCTTGAAAAGTGATTTCAACAAGAGAGAAACATTGCGGAGAGAGACTCATCTCAGGCTAGGACAACATCGAGTGTGGTTGAATTGCGCCGAGCATAAAAGTCTTGAGAGTTCTCTGACTTGGTGATGTCGCGCCAACCTAAAGTTGTGCGACATCCAGCATGGTCAAGCGAGAGCTCTTTATCTGGATTCCATTGGGCATCGAGGTGCTGACACTGAGCGTGACTCAAGCAAAGACTTTTTGTCTAAGATGGGGTCGGGTGTAGTGTCTTAGCCATGCCAGGTGTGAGGTCTTAGGGGCCTCTACCTTAGCCATGTCGGACACAGGTTGTGTAGCATCAAACATGGACAAGGCAAAGAGCTTGTTGTTTGAATAACGCCAGATACAGTGTGTGTAACGCCTGACATTAGTTGTTGAAGAAGATGTGATGGTGTAATTTATGCAATGTTAAATACTTTTTGTTTTAAGTTATTATATGATGAATGAGTTGTAGAGATGATGTAATACATGATGATTGTGTTGTGAGTTGTTATATAAGGAGTAGATATGTCACTATAAAAAAAATAGGTAATTATTGGCAAAAAAATTTTTGCGGTTTCCATAAACTGCCAAAAAATGTTACATTTGTAGTAAGGATGGTAAGGACTACAAATTATTGACACTTTCTGGCGGTTTTAAACCGCGGGAATGGTAATCGTTATATGTGTTGGCACTTTTTAGCAGTTTTAAACGGCCAGAACGTTCAACAATTTTTTTTATTAAAATTAAACTTAAAAAAAAACATTTTTTAAATGAAGTACGCAGGGGTATTTTGGGGAAAAGATGAAAATGGAGGCAAACTGCTTTCCTTTTGATGGCGAAACTGAAGAAAATCCATTCGGAAGAGTGAAGCTTCGTTTCGTTTAGTTTTCTTCTTCCACTGAATCCCATGACGAGAGTTAAGCACACGCTAGCTTCTCGCAAGCCTGGTACGTTTCAATTTCAACTTCTTGCTTTTAATTTTTGCAATAACTCTCACTCAATTAGTTTCAGTTATAAAATATAACTAGATTAAAGTATATTATTATAACTTCTTTTGTATTCTTTAATTAAAATCAAAATTTCATTAGTACAACTTACATATTAAGAATCAATTCAATCTAACTTAATTATTGAACAAAATATCAAAATAATTCATAATGCTACAGTTAAATTTTGAATTAAAAATATTATTAAATAATTTTTTGTTCAATTATTATTGCTTGATTAAAAAGAGAAGCTCGGAAAAAAAAATACATCATATCTTTTTTTGGTATTGTAGATCAGCATATTTGAATCTCTTTTTTTTTTTTTTTATCTAGACCCACATGTATTTATTTTAAAATGTTTATTTTGCTTTGTCCCGTGAGTCTAATTGTCATTCTTTGCAGAGAAAGAGTCTCACATTAAAAAAATTATGTTATGTGGTTTGACGAAAAATGTGAGAAAATTAAAAAAAAAAAAAAAAGGAGCAATTTTGTGGCAGTTTAAAACTGTCAGAAATGTTAAATTAAGAAATATTTAGATGAATTTTGTAGGGGTTTTAAACAGCCACAAAATGTCAAACAAATCAAACAAAAATGCATTTTGTGGCAGTTTGAAACTGCCAAAAACAGATTGAATTTTCTGGCACTCAAAACCAGCGTTTACAAAATATCCGCCACAAACTTTTTTTGGCGACCGTAGATCTGACGGTTATTAATGACGTCAGTAATACCATTTGTGGCAGTTTTTAACCGCCAGAAACTGTCAATATAACCGACACAAATCACACATTTTTTTGTAGTGTGTGATGGGAGATGTGTGTTGACTGAGTTGTATGTTTGCTGTGTAGTTGTGTTGAATATAAAATGTGTTGTTGTTATGTTTGTTGTTTACAAAGTTGAATGTGTGAGTTGTGATTATTGAGTTGTGAGATGCAAATTTGAGTGTTAATTGTGTTGTTTTATTGTTGAGTTGTGTAGATCACTTAAAACTAGAGGAAGGGTTTTCAAAAATTACATATCTCATTGTGTGGATATTGTGTTGTGGTACTCCAAGGGCCCAAATTTGTTAAAAATCATTCTTGGGTATTTGACCCTTGAAATAGATGCTATGTTGTTTCTCCTTTAGAACTTTGTTGATATCATGTGTGGGTAAGGTTGAGGCACACGTGAATGAACACAATATAGGGGTTAAGTCGAGCTATATTAATTACAAGTGACCAACTAAGTAAAGTACGAAGTCAAAAAATTAATTTCAAATCAAGTATTGGAAGGTTATAGTATTTGGAGGGTAGTCGGTAGACTAATCTCATAGGAATTTGGTTAAGCTAACTAGCTAATGTCGTGATAAGCTCGTACCCAATTGTTCTATCCTAACATTAGTAATATACTTCCTTATTTAAGTGGGAACATCTGAGAAACTGAGTTGTTGTGTTGTAGATTTATATCCAACTTGTTGCTAATCTAGCAAGTCGAAAAAGATTATTATATGTTGTTGGTTCAATAAGATCAAGCCACTTAAACTACTCACCCTGTGTAATAGGAGATCTCTTAATTGATATGTGTGATGATGCATATAGTTATTGTGTTGAACATATGACATGTTGAGTTGATTATGTTGTTTATATGTTGTGTTGAATTGTGATGAAATGTGCTACTATGTTGAATTTAAGTTGTTGATGTGATGTTCTGTGGTATACTGTGATGATTTGCGATCGTGTTAAGGATGAGATGATGATGTGACTTTCTTGTGTTGTATATATATGTGTGTGCGTTATTTTTTTTACTCTAGCTTACTATTGCATGTTTCCATATAATGTGGACTACGATGATTATACGTGATATGGGAGTAGGACCGGGATAAGACTGGAGAGTTGTTGTGGAGGCCACCTAGTGGCATAAGAGTTGGAGGATGTTTTGTTTACTACCCAAAGGTGGTAGACTTGTAGAGACAATTGTATAGTTGTTTCACTGACAACTTAAGATGTATAATTTACATTTACTAAATTACTGTATTTATATTACACCTATTTATTTAGTTGATTTTCTTCGTATGCTTAATACGTGTTCTAGTAATTGTATGTCTATGGTTTTAAGTGATATATTTTTCGTTGTTAGTAACTGTGTGGTATAATATATGAACCATATTGGAGCATTATAGTGATTTTATGAAATGATTATTTTAAACATATTATATTATAAATATAATAGATAAATTGCAAATCTAGCAATTTATTTTGTTGATTGATTTGAAAGATGTTACAATTCAAAACTATATTGATTTTAATAATAATATAATAAAAATAGTTATTTATTAGTTAGAGTAAAATAATATTATAATTAATTTTTAAGATATAATGAATATTATAAAAATAATAATAATAAATGATTAATATTTATAAGAAAAGAATTGCGTAAATTATAATTTCCAACCAAATATAAAATAAATAAAAATAGTGCTAATGATGAATATAAAAATTATTAATAATTTATAAATAAAAAAAAAATATATATTACACTATTCTTATATAATTTCAACAAAAATAAAAATGTTACTAGAATGATAATATATTAATGAAATAAAAATTTAATAGTTGATTAATACTATAAGTTTTAAAAATAAAAACAAACTACTAAAATGATAATATATTAATAATCTAAAATTTAAAAAATAATATTATAAAATAAATATAATAAAAATTCTAAAACTAAAAATTCAAAAAAAATAAAAATATTTATACACATATACCTGGAAATTAATATATTTATTCTAGGTTGCTTATTGAAATACAATAAATTAAATTAATTTTATAAAAATATATTTTGATTAAGATTTAAAAAAAATAGTAATTGGCTGAGAAAAAAATATTTAGTTTTTGTACGGATTCAAAAAGAAAAAAATAACATTTAGATTAAAAAAAAAGTAAAGATAAAAAAATTAAAATAACAATTAAAAAATTATAAGAACTTAATTATAATATTAACTATTAAATAGCATATTGAGTGACATATCAATTATGTCTATGTAGATAATAGATAATAGTAGAGAGGGCCTATTTATAAATCGCAGCTAAGTACCGTGAAACATCTATAGGGACACGAACTAGTTTGACGAGAAAAACAGAAAGGGGTGAGAGGAAGCACGCGTTCCAAGGAGCATAAAGTAATGGAGAGTGGGAGATGTTTGCGTATAGTGTGAATGGTTGCGAAAAAGGAGGACATGCATATGTGATATATGTATTATGTATATATACAAGACAAGAGGCATGGGTTATCCCCGACGATAATAAGAAGAGCAAGAGACTTGCTCCACTGGAGAATAGCGGGACAAAGAAAAAGTAGTTTTAGGAGAAAAGAATAAAAGTAGTAAAGAAAGATGGGAAGGGTAATGTTTGTGATCTTGCTATGGCTGTCGGCCGGGACATTATTGTCGGTGGTCCGGGGTGAAGACCCTTATCTGTTCTTTACATTTAACGTTACTTACGGCACTATCTCTCCATTGGGTATACCCCAGCAAGGCATTCTCATCAACGGGCAATTTCCAGGACCCAATATCAATTGCACCAGCAACAATAATCTTATGATCAATGTGTTCAATAATCTGGACGAGCCATTCCTTTTGACATGGTATGTATGTATGTATGAATAATATTAACGTAACATGCATGGGTGTTTTACTCTCTATTAAAATTTGCAGGCATGGTATCCAACAAAGAAAGAATTGCTGGCAAGACGGGGTTGCGGGAACTAGCTGCCCCATTCCTCCGGGGACAAACTTCACGTACCATGTGCAGGTGAAGGACCAGATAGGCAGCTACTTCTACTACCCAAGCACAGCCATGCATAAGGCAGCTGGTGGATTTGGTGGCCTCCGTGTAAACAGTCGCTTGCTCATTCCTGTGCCATACCCTGATCCTGAGGATGACTACACCGTTCTCATCGGTGACTGGTACACAAAGAGCCACACCACTCTGAGGAAGCTCTTGGATAGTGGCCGCTCCATTGGCAGGGCCGAAGCCGTTCTCATCAACGGCAAAACAGCTAAAGGCGATGGAAAAGACGAGCCACTCTTCACCATGAAGCCTGGAAAGACCTACAAATACAGAATATGCAACGTTGGCCTTAAGGCCTCCCTAAACTTCAGAATCCAGAGCCATTCCATGAAGCTTGTCGAGATGGAAGGCTCCCACGTCGTGCAAAACAACTACGACTCTCTCGACGTCCATGTAGGAGGATGCTTCACTGTCCTCGTTACAGCGGACAAGGTGCCAAAGGATTACTACATGGTGGCTTCCACACGTTTCATCAAGAGCGTTCTAACATCTAAAGGCATCATCCGTTACGAAAATGCTAAGGCTCCTGCCTCACCCGACCTCCCTAAGGCTCCGCTTGGTTGGGCTTGGTCTGTCAACCAATTCCATTCCTTCCGATGGAACCTCAGCGCCAGTGCCGCCAGGCCCAACCCTCAGGGCTCCTACAAATATGGTAATATCAACATTACCCGTACTATCAAGCTCGTCAACTCAGCTATTAGGACAAAGGGTAAGCTCCGTTATGCCCTCAATGGTGTCTCCCACGTCGATCCCGAAACTCCGCTCAAGCTAGCTCAATACTTTGAAATTCCGGACAAGGTTTTCAAATATGATACTATCCCAGACATCGCACCTTCTGACGTTGCAGATTCTCTATCCGTACAGCCAAATGTTCTTAACATTACCCATCGCGACTTCGTCGAGATCATCTTTGAGAACCATGAAAAAACAATGCAATCCTATCACTTGGATGGTTATTCCTTCTTCGCACTAGCGTGAGTATTCATTAATTAATTCTTCTTAATTAGGCTACTTCTTCAATTTGCTTATATATTAATTAATTGCATGCAGCATAGAGCCAGGCAGGTGGACCCCAGAAAGGAGGAAGGACTACAACCTTCTTGATGCCGTGAGCAGACACACAATTCAGGTCTTCCCAAAATGTTGGGCGGCCATCATGTTGACATTCGACAATGCTGGAATGTGGAACCTAAGATCTGAGCATGCTGAGAATCGCTACTTAGGGCAACAACTCTACATTAGCGTTTTGTCCCCTGAACGTTCCCTCAGGGACGAGTTAAACATGCCAGATATTCAACTTCTTTGCGGTCTTGTAAAGAATTTGCCAAAGCCAGCACCATACACATAAGAACAATAGAAGAGTGTAGATAAAGGGTTCGAGTACATCGTTGTGTCTCAACCCTTTTAGAAATGCCTTACAATTCTTTCCAAATAAAAATTTTTGTTTTGTTCACTATGTATTATGTATTTTCTAAGTAAAAAATGCATCTCGATCTCTCTAGAATCAAAGTGATGTACCTTATGCATTTTTTTTCACAAATGAGACGTGATTTTAGCCATTCGAGACACAGATCCAAACATGTTATAAGATTTAATCCATGTATCATTGTATGTAAATATTAATTCATCTCGCCTCTCACTTATACACAACGGTCCGTTTTGATCTATTCGTCATATGTGTATTTTTGCATCCGAAACCCGTTCTGAAAGGAGAACGGGTCGTTTTCCTTGCAGTACGGGCCATTCTGCAAGGAGAACAGGCCGTTCTCCTCTCAGAACGGACCGTTCTGGATCCAGTTTTACACCATACTTAGATACAAAAGTACAAAAAAAAAAAAAAATTTAACAGCTCAAAATTCAATTCTCCGGAAACCGAATTCTGAACGTGAACAGTGAAAGGTGTTATTTGGGTAAATAAAGTGGTACAGGTGTTTTTTTTGGTAAAAATTTTTTTAAAAAAATTTATTTTAGTAAAAAATTCGTTAAATGATACACAAGCCACCGATGGCCGATGGGTTTATTCGTTTAGAGACAACAGTTAGACAAACAGAATATAAAAAATATTTATAATGAAATGTCGGTACCAAACCAGTGCGAGTACCGACTCTCATGCTCACACGTAACCCACCCTTTCCAAGCCTGCATTTGAGCTTTATAAAGCCCCAACCCCAGAAAAAAAAAAATCAAAATCCTTTCAGAAGTATAGAGAAAAACATTCATAACAACAATATTGCCATTTTAAAAAGTCCAATTATGTCTTTTATTTTTAATCAGACTTATTTTTATTCATAACACTAATCAGAAGGTCTAAAATTATTTATTTGTGAACTAGGTCTAAAATTTTGTGCATAAATAAATTATCACTAATATCATGACTAAATTTTAGAATGAAGTTGAGCATTTGTCGGGGAAGAAAGGAGGGTGGAGGTTCACTGTTTTAGACAGCTCAATAGCTGAAATTTTTGACAATAGGCGCCAAAAGAAAAAATTTACTTTTGATTGTATGACATCGCATTGTACATTCAAGTTCAACAACTCATTACATGTCGAAAAAATGGTATATAAAATTGCTTTTACACTCACCCGCAATGATTTATCTCCCTCTCAAATTTATAAATTTAGTAAACCTCTATATCTACCTCGGATGTAAATACGTAAAAAGTAGACGTTCCACTCAGTTTTTTTCGTAGAATAAAATGTATGCCTCACAGCGAAGAACTTCATCAAGAGAAACTTCACGCACATATGCATCACTTGCCTGATACCATGTGGAACCCTCGCTCTCTTTATCTCCCTTCCCTCTGTTCCTCTGCCCCCCTTTAACATATGCAATATAGTGACCCCCTCTCATAGTTCCCGAGTGCTCCACCACACCAACCAAGCGGTATTCATACTTTTCTTCAATTATGCACCTGCTTGAATAGAATTGGGAGTAAATCACATGCCAGTATGTCAACAAAGTACTAAAGAAAAGAAGGAAATAAACTAGACAACTACAATCAAAATAATTCATTTACAAATTGCAATGGTTTGGAATTATGTCTAAATATTTCTTGTGATATAACTAAAATCATAATCCTTAACACTTGGGTAAATATGAATTAAACGCAAAACACATAGAAGCTTCTATGAAGCACCAACTTCGACATGACTAATATTCAGAATATAGGACATCAAGAACAATGCATACATACTCACAAAAAGAATACTAAGAGAGATGACATCTACATCGGACAAGGATGATATAGGGGAAAACTACAACAAAAACAGGAGAAATTATTAGGAGATTCGTGACCACTTAATCTCTAATTAGTTTCTACATAATATGTAATCAAGTATTATTATTTTTTTCTGATAGTTTGAAAAATTTAAATGTATGCTATATAGTAAGTGATTGAGACTTAGTAGTCTTGGTCTTGGACTACCTAATACACTTGTCTGACATCCAACAACCAACACACGCCTCCAACACCCACACAGGCTGGAGGAGTGGCTGACAATTGGCAACAAAAAAAAAGGAAAAAACCAATGGCTACTGACTCTAGCAACCATCACACCGGAGAAGAGCTGCGACTAACAACTAAAATGCCAACTGGGTTTCCTTTGCAAAGATGTTTACGTTCAACGGAAAAAAGGGTTCTGTGCTTCATAATATTTTAAATGATTTCAATTTTTAAATAATTTTATATTTATAATATAATTTGACTTTTTAAACATATATATATATATATATATATATATATATGTGTGTGTGTGTGTGTGCGCGTGTGTTAAAAGCGTCCAGCCAAGATAGGTGCGGACTCACGTTTCTTAGCCCATATCCAAGAGGTGTACAAGCTGAAAATAAATCTTTTACACATGCAACACAGTAGAGGAGTGTTCAACACATGTCAAAGGCATGTCCGAGAAGTTTTAGTGTCCAAAACAATGTCCAACATGCCAACACGCCATTCTGATGGGGTGTTTGTGCTTTATAGAGAAGCATTAAGCACTTATTGTTCAAACTTCAAACAGGATCTAGCAAAGTAACAAAATACCTGGGATCAATATACGGTTTAATATCCATTGTTTCCCTGAAATTGACATGGCCATTTAATTTACTTAAGCGACCACGGGCATCTTGGCTGAACCTCTTCAAATGAATGGTCAGGACTGGTGGAGCTTTATAAATGAGGACCCTCTTAGTAGCATCCCTCTTCACTTTCACACTTTTGGAGTCAACCTCTTCTGAGTCATTGTTATCATTGCCTAACATCGGAGAATCTCTTATATGCATATTTTCAGTAACACAAGAATCAGCAGCTAACTGACTGCAGCTTTCTTCATTGCGTGCATTATGAAACTCTGTAGACTGCAGTTCATCATTATGTGTATCTTCCATTTCAAAAGCCCCACTATCCCTTTCATTAACAATTAAATTAAGCTCATCTCTTTGACCATTTTCAAGCTCAGTGCCGTGTTCAACACATGAAACCAAACTTTCTATATTTCTGTCATTTTTTGAGTCCCCATTTTCAGTGGTTCTGACCTTAACAGAACAAGAGTTAGCTGCAGAAAATGGTTCATCACGACTTCCAGTCTTATTTCCATCAGATACAGCTCTTGCCTGCTTTTCATCTTCCATCTTTTGGCGTTGGAGAACTTTTGAACAGTTTTCACAATGCCATGCATTTTCATCGGAGAGAAGCTCAGGTTTTATAAAATGAGCCAAGCAACTCTCTACAGAGACAGGAGAATCTGTATCATCTACTTCATCTGGATCAGACTCACTGTTGCTTCCAATGATAAAGCCAGCTTCCATGACCTCGTTACACGAGGAAGGTCTAGGAGCAGGCCCGGCAACAACTTCAGGCTCATTGAATAAGTCACCAATTCCATCAAACTCCAATTCTTCTTGACCACCACCCAAAACTGATGAGGAGGCCTCGCCATCTCCTCCAATGATCTCAGCAGCCGAGGACCTTTCTTCTTTGTATGGAAGTAACAGCACTTCTGAACCTTGAACTTGTAACGGAACCTCATCTTCCCACCCATTTGCTGAAGAAAAATTGGGTCTTAGGTTTTGATCATCCTTAAGGAAACAAGCAGGACCACTAGATTCACAGCTTTCCTGTACATGGAATTCATTTAAACAATCATCTTTGCTCTCAGTATCCCGTACCTCTGGAGCATCCACCTTTTGGGAAATGAAATCACATTCATGAATCATTGTTTCAGCATCCACATAATCCAGCCATGTAAAATCATCTGACACTTTCATTGAACCATTGTCAAGCACTTGCACATTTTGAGACTCTCCAACAGTAACCAAATTAGGTGAAGACAAGTGAGCTTTATCAGCTACACTGTGTATTTCTTCGGAACCTAACAGTGTAGAATCACCAGAACAAGTCCCCATCTCTCCAGCAACTGATATGATTGACTGATCAGGGCAAGATGATCTGTGGCTGGATAATTGGTTTAATTGAACTTGAACAGGTAAGGGATCAGTATCCCTGTTAACTTTAACTCGAGTTTTTCCACCTTTTTTTGGTGGAAGTTTTGCCTTTTTGGTTCGAGATACTTGTTGAGCCTTTCGAGATGGAGGTTTCTTAGTTGGAACAGGCAGTGAAAGATCTAAAAAAGGTTCGTACACTGTTGAGAAATGCCCACATTCTATGCAACGCACGGTACTAGATATCTGACCCCCAAATAAAGCGTCAACAAATGTATTGGAAGAGATCCCATCTCTTTTGGGAGAACCATTCTGTTTCCTTCCAGCTAGTTCCTCGGTACATAATCCATCCAATAAACAACGGAGCAATTCGTGGCTGTCATGCTGCTGATATCCTCGAAATTGGGGAGACCTTGAACAGACACAGCCAAAAAAAGATCTAGGATTTATAGCACTTTTCAATCCTGATTCAGGGTTTGTTTCAGTGAAAAGCTTCTTCAATGAACTAATGAGTGGCCCAACAGGGGCATCTAACTTTAGAATGTTGTCCCGCAATCTATTCATAGCTAGCAGATTTTGCATGACTGAATTGAAGAAGCAAGTATTCCCAAGATTAATCATACCTCTAACTACATAACCACCTTGTCCATATGAATCATTTGTTAACAGAGCACTTGACTTAATTTCTGGAGTAACACTTCCATCCCCAACGGAAATTTCCTCATTATCACCAGAAGATTTTTCAATTGATCGTCCTTTCAACAATTTCACAACATCAGGTAAAAGATGACTTGATTCATCAGTTTTTTCAATTTTATCAACTTGAATAAGCATGTTACAAGAAAAACACCAACATAATTGTGGCTTATCAAAATGAACCACCAAGGGGTGCCGATTTTTCCTCGCATGCCCTACCACATGGCATTGAGGGGTTATAGGTAGCCCCACGCCTCCACAGGTATATTGACCACACTCCAAACAAACCCATATAGACTTTGACTCAGATTTTGAATCTAATGATGCACCACCTTTCTTCTTTCCATGTTTACCTTTTCCTTTACCGCTCCTCCTATCAGTTGCACCTTCCCTACAATCTTCACACCTTATTGATTCAGAAGACCCAATCTTACTGGACAATCTGTTTAAATTAACCCCTTTTACAAGATGAGAGCAAAAATTTATCTCTTTTGCAACCACAACCCCCTCATCAACAGACTCAACAGTCGGGTTGCATGATTCCGTAACCTTTTTTGCCAAATGGGAAGTAACCACCTTCTCCTTAGCAGAAGCTCGGCTCTTCTTTCTGACTTTCTTTCCCATCGGTTCCTGTAATCTAAAAGAAATCAATGAACTCTGCCAGCACACAACAGACGAGATAACAGATATCCGGTCCCTCTAACTAATATCAAATCCGACCATATGCTACCCATTATACACATGCAAATACAACCGGGAAAATTCAAAAATCATTCTTTTCTTCTTCTTTTTTTTTTTACCTAGAAAACAAAAGACGTGGGAGAATTGAAACGAGATATTCAAGGAAATGGAGCCGAGCTATAAGTGAGTGACAATAAACTAACCAATCCAACCCTGTGGCACGAGGACGATTATAAGGCATAAAATCTTATCCAATAAGTGTTGACCTGGAAAATGATAATTTCATAGTAAAGTAATATCATGCAAATGTGAAATGTTTAGGTTTAGGGGTTAGAAAAACACCAACAATTGGTGATCAGAAATAGTTGGAACCGCAGAGAAAATGAGATAAGTGTGAAGTGAATTTAGTAGCATGTATAAAAAGAAGAATTGATACATTGGAGGGTTCGCAGAGATAAAGATTATGGAATGAAGGAAGGAGGAGAGTGGAATAATGTAGAGATGCAGGAAGTTGAGATCGAAAATTGGGAAAGGAGAAAGATGGGGTGATTGAAAGCATATATTTATGAATGGTTTAATCGTAAAGAAAAGAAACAACGCAAAGTGAGTATGAAGGTACCTGGAAGTGGAAACGCAGGAGAAGATGCAATCTGGAAGGTGAGTGAGTATTGATAAATAGATAGATGATAAGGAATAGGGATTGGTGGCAAGAGTCTGGTATGGTGTGAGAGTGGGAATAGATGCCTCTGAGGAGAGGAGAGGGGAGACGAGACGTGCAGGGTTTGGTTTGGTTTGGTTTGTTTACCAGTCCAGACGGGTCACTACCCCGATCCGCCCCCCTTTCCAGAACACAACAAACAAATATACCCTAATCTTGCTTTGCACTTCCACAGTTGCACATATAACTTAAGTATGTTTCCTTCTCCATTTTTTCTCCTCTTTTTACATAAACTCTTTTAACTATTGCCATTAGTTCAAATTTTGCATAATATTCGTATAAAGTTAATCATCTATAGTAAAGTTTTTTTATCTCGATAATTAATCATATTTTTAAATAATATTATATCAATTACTTATTTAATAAAATAAAAATAAAATAAAATAATTTAAAAGATATAATTAATTGACAATGTAAAAAAATTTATATTAATAATATATAAATGATTAACTCATATTTATATGTGCTTCTATCAACTAAATTAGAATAATTTTATCGTACAAATGTATTTTTAAAAATTATAAGAATTATTATTGTTTGACGAAAACGTCTCACTTTATTTTCTTCAACCAATTCAATCTCCTAGCACATTTTAAAGATAAATATTTTTCATATTTTAAAAATACTCATATATTATAATATATATTATAAATTATTTATTAAGAATATAATATATAATATGTTCAAAAATATGTATTTATTATATTATAATATATAAAAA